CTGTTGGCACTCCACGTCTCAATATTGGATAGCGGTTTTGAAAACTGCCTTTGTTTTTATTGCTATAATACAGTACTGTTGTAGCAAGTTTTGTTTTGTTTTTTCGAGATAGGGATGGTATTATTTATGACTGTGTGTGTGTGTGTGTGTGTGTGTGTGTGTGTGTGTGTGTGTGTGTGTAAAATTGAATTACTTGCACTCATATTTGGACAAACCCCTGTAAGGCATGACCCAGCTCTTACCACATGTAACAGATGAATGAGGAGCCATGCTTAAGTGACTCTCATGCCCCTGCAGAAGAGACGGCATGGAGGATATGTAGAATAAACTGGAGAATAGATAGAATAGATGCTGAGGACAAAAGCTGATGGAACATCAGCCACACACCAAAACAAAGGAAGATATTCCCACCCACATAAGGGCCTGCTGCTACAAGCTAATTGATATGGAAGGAACCATGTTGGCAGAGAACAGTCAGAAGTTGGAGCCAGTGTGCCCTGTGGTCACTGTACCATACCTGAGGGAGCCATAAACATTATGACATTCATCAAATTGCAGCTAATGTCTCCTTTCCCAGCATGCTCCGAGGAGAAACAGGCAATAAGAATGACGCTGCTTTTCCCAGTCAGACACAGTTACAGTAATAGGTCCACTTACATAAGTAGAGCGATGAAGACACCTCCAGGGTCTGCATGTGGCTTAAACCAGTCACACTGGCATTGTTTTGTGTGTGCATCTTTAACAACCAAAACAAAACAATAAAAAGACACAATTCCAATCAAGGAGCATTTATTGATAAACTCTGACACTTACCGTCTGGACTCCGAGACCATGTGACTATCAACCCACTTTGTGTGGTCTCACACAAAGCCGCCTGCTCCATAAGTTCTGTGGAGTACTGTGGTGCCAGTACACAAACCAAATTCCGGCATCAGCTGACACCTGCTGGCACCCTGAGGACCCAGAGGACCTAGAATTGTGATTTAGTAACAATAAGCATGAAAGGGGATGGGAGGAAGCTTTGAGAGAAAGAGCTCCATTGCTCAAGTCAACAGACAGAGAAGCCAGGACCTACCTCTCCCACTCCACAGCCGAAGCTACTGTTGTTACTAGTGTTGAATTTTTCCTTTAGCATTGTACACTATGACATTTAACATTTGTGACTATTTCTTTGAAACGAAGGGTGGTAACGTTGATGGTCCAAAACTCCCACGAGTGATCTAAGTTTTTTAAAGAACAAATTTCTGAAGAAATGGGTTTTTAAAAGAAATGACAGCACATCTCCATTGCAAAGGATGCAGGCCAGTCAGCCAGGATGGGCAGGCATTCTGTGGTTTTACGAGTTCACATCTTTGTCTTTCGCACTTGCATAGAAATTCCTCCTTTAAAATTTCAAGAATTTGCAACTATGCACTGAGTGCTGAGAACATCCCACTAAGTGTGGCTGGAGCATGCCAGACCCAGTGTCAGAGAACACAGTACAGATCTTTTCTTTAAAAGACCCCCCGGCCCCCAACTTTTCTCTGTTTACTTATAATCATGCTGTTTCTTACAGCATTGTAGCACCAAGAAAAATCATGCCAAGAAAGAAAGAAAATTCAAATTACCCATAAGTCAGAGAAGGTAGCAAATGTAGACTTTTATTTTTAAAAAAAGTAAGAAGAAGAAGAAAGAAAGAAAGAGAGAGAGAAAAGCTATTTTGAGAAAAGCATTTAAAAGTACAATTATCTAGCAAGCAAAACTGATAATTATATAATTCCTCAGCTTTTGGCAGCTTAACTTTTGCTTAAAGGAACAGGTTGGGATTCATGTTGCAGCTTACTATCTGCAACACTTTGTGCTCCAGATCTCTGGAGATGGTCAATGAAGAAAGGGGTGTCGTCAGTCAAGTGTCCTGCAGGGACAAGCGCTATTTACCTTAGTCTTTAGGGGAAAAGAATAACTTAGAGAGCAGATGTAAAGTGAGGGTAATAAAGAGTCAAGAGAATGGTTAAAAGAATGTTTTCTCTTACAGAAAAGAATGTGTGACACGCAGTCAGTGACAAAAGACTAGCTTCCCAGAATAATGGCACCTCCTACACCTTGAACTTTGAGAAGGTGTCACCTTGGCTCTGAGACAGAGACCCAATTGTTGGGCATCTATGATGTGCTCGGCTGTGTGGCTGGCTGTAAGCGAATTGTCTTGTGTGCTCTAAATTAGCACAATAGATGAGTTCTGATACAAGTGAGGGATACTGCTTCAATAATCAGTTAGGGGGTGATCAAAGAAGACATGAGGTGCCAGCCTCTGGCCTTCACATGCATGCACACTTGCATACACACATAAGCTCACACATGTACAAACACACGTACATATGAGCATACCTAACCAACATGCACACCATAAACAACATGAACAAAACACTAACTCCAAGATCCAGTGTCATAAAATCACAGCCCATATTTAGTCCATTACTTCATGATGTGGTTAATGATGTAGGCTCAGATGAGCTCCCTCATGCTCTTACAGTTAGCTGATGGAGTGGCTAGATGCTGTCTGGTCCAGGGGAGCTCTGTCAGGCAGGCTTGTCTCTGCTGCTCCCTCAGCAGGTTGATCAAGGTTGGTATGCAGTAACTGGGCAGTGTCCTGAGAGAAGAGCTGGCAGTGTGCACAGGTTTTGGTGACACCGGCTCTAAAGTAATGTAACATCCTTCTTCTCACCACATTCTGTCACCCACAGCAAGCCGCAAGCCCAGCTCAGCTCCAACAGGGAAGGCTGAGACTTCACCTCCTAAAGAGAGGAGAAGCGAGCAAGCTGCACTATGCAGGGCATGGTCACATTGTATTGTGTATATGTATACAGTTGTCAAGAGTAATGAAAACTTACCTTAAAAAGAAACAATTGCCGGTTGTAGCGGAGCACACCTTGAATCCTGGGAGGCAGGCAGATCTCTATGAGTTCGAGGCCAGCCTGTTCTACATAGCAACTTCCAGACCAGTTAAGGCTACGTAGTGAGACTCAGTCTCAAAAAGAAAAGAAAACAAAGAATTTTTAAAGTGACTAAAATGATGGCAAATGGAAAAAAATAGTGAGCTGCAGTGACTATCAGAGTGATAAGGTGTAGTGAGAACAAACATGAACAGTGATGAGGACCTCTGGCTCATACACTCAGCACTGGTGAGCATGTGATGAGAAGGACACTCATGGTATTGCTTCACAGGGTCACAGTGAGGAGTGATGGGCTGTAAAGCTATTTACATATTTTCTCAATAATTGCCTTTCTAAGAGACTCTCTCCTAGGAAAACACTTTTAGATGCAAAAAGATGGGGGGAAAGATGTTTACTGAATTCCTGCTGCTAGAATTTATGTTGAGCACTCTGACCTCGGAAAGCTGTGGAAATGAGATAGACATAATTTATCCCATTTATACATTAGACACCTGTCCAAGAAACTTAGCCAGCATCATGCAGCTAGTCTAATAATGAAAACCATGTTCTCTGTCTTATGGCTCCTCATCTTTTCTTCCTCTTGCCTACAGCTATGTGTTAGCTACTTTTCCACAGCTGTGATCGAATACTCTGACAGAAAGCAAGTTAAGGATAAAGGTTGGGCTTACAGTTCCAGAGTGATACAGTCCACCATGCTGGGGAAGGTACAGGAGCAGGAGCATGAGTGATCACATATTATCTGCATACAGGAAGAAGAGCGAGAGAGAGAACAGGAAGTGGAAGCAGGCCACAAAACCTCAAAGCCCGCCCTTCAGTGATATACTTCTTCATTGATATTCCATTTCCTAAAGATTCAATAACTTTCCTAAACCAGCAACTGAGGATCAAATTTTCAAATGCATGAGCCAGTGGGGAACGTTTCTCCCTCAAACCACAAGTCACAATGGCCGTGATGGCTAATCTTCATTGTCAGCTTGACTAGAATCACCATGGAAACACACCTCCAGGGTGTCTGTGGAGGATTTTCTAGTGGGAAGATTCAGCCTAAATGTGAGTAGCACCATTTCATGGGCTGAGCTCCAAACTCCATGAAAAGATAAAGGCTAGCTGAGATCCAGCTTTCACCTCTCTGCTTGCTGACTGTAGATTGCTGACTGCAGATGCAAGGTGACCAAACGCCTCCCTTCCTGATGCTATGGCTTCCCTGCCGCGGTGGACCATATTTCCTCAAACTGTAAGCAAAAATGAACCTTTCCCAGCTTGAGTAACTTCTCTCAGGTATTTGGTCACAGCAATAAACCGAGTAATTAGTATAATGACTATGAGGATTTTGAAGTGGATTTGAGGCCCCAAAAGATGTATCTTCAGCCCTCTGCTGAAGGATACGGGAGGATACAAACTAGATTCCAAGCAACTGTCATCAGATAAAATTCTGAGACCAGTTAGAAAATTCTGAGGAAGAACCTAAGAGTGAAATGATGAGAGCTCATGACACACTTCCAGTTCCCAGAGAATTTGTCCTCCATCAAGGGCATTAGAGACAGATGTGAAAGCATCACGGGAATTGTTCATAAGAAATCAGCTCAGTGGAAAAAAAATGTGTCCTGGAGACATAGAGTTGATGCTAATAGACCCCCAATAATTCCTCTGGGACCTAAGTCATGGGACTTCATGACCCAGAGACATTCTGAAGAACAGCTAATAAGACTCCCAAGGATGCCGCTTCCTGCTCAGTCCCCCTGAGCCCAAGGAAGCTCCATGGGGATCAGGAGCCCTTGGTAACCAGGGCAGCACAGCAAGGCACTCCCTCTAGGGAAAAGACTCAAGTCAAGGGCCTCTGGATCAGGCTACTGTCTTCAGTCTCTGGTCCAACCCAGAGGCTGAATAGAAGCACCATGAGTGACAGCTGATGTATGCCATTCATGTCATTCTGGTGACCAAGGTGCATTCCATATTAGAATGGTCAAAACAATGACCTACTTACCCCGTGAGACTGAACAATTTACAGTCACCACCTTTCTGAGGGCTCTCACCAACACCAGCATGAATGGAATTGGGTATCTGAGTGTGCACTGCAAAACTTCACTGATATAAAATACAAAGCAGCCAAGCATATGTATGTAGCTAGAGTTTTCCTGCCTTGCCCACAGTCAGGACAAATCTCTGTCACCCGCCAGTCCCACAGCCGCTCAGACCCAAACGAATAAACACAGAGACTTATATTGGTTACAAACTGTATGGCTGTGGCAGGCTTCTTGCTAACTGTTCTTATAGCTTAAATTAATCCATTTCCATAAATCTATACCTTGCCTCATGGCTTACCGGCATCTTCATATGCTGCTTGTCATGGTGGTGGCTGGCAGTGAGTCCTTCCGCCTTCCTGTTCTTTCTTTTCTCCTCTCTGTTAGTCCCACCTATACTTCCTGCATAGCCACTGGCCAATCAGTGTTTTATTTATTGACCAATCAGAGTAATTTGTCATACAGACCATCCCACAGCATTTCCCCTTTTCTTTCTTTCTTTCTTTCTTTTTTTTTTTCTTTTTAAAGAGGAAGGTTTTAACTTTTACACATCTCCAAAGCCAGCTTGGTATATTTGGGAATTTGGGCGTAGCATCTCTTACTACTTCCTGCTGGAGGGGGGCACTGTATCTTAAGCTATAAGAGCAGTTAGCAAGAAGCCTGCCACAGCCATACAGTTTGTGACCAATATAAGTTTCTGTGTTTACTTGGTTGGGTCTGAGCGGCTGTGGGACTGGCAGGTGACAGAGATTTGTCCTGACTGTGGGCCAGCCAGGAAAACTCTAGCTACATATGTATGTTCTAGAAATCAAAATAGTGCTTATTCTCAGAGCAAGGGTGCAGAGTAGTCCTCCTCCTAGCTATGATCTAGTTTCATGTGAAGCTTCTGGTTATTATTACAGATATATGGTTAGGAAAACTCAGCAAGCTGTGGGGTTGTCTTAGAGACCCTTTTCTCTATTTTTATAATTAAATTTTACTAAATATTGAAATTAAATTACCTGGCACATTTCCACCTCTTCATCCTTCAAGAGCTACAGTGGCCTGGAATCAACTCCCGGTGAAGTCCTCATTACATCTTCCCTTGGTGCCCTTACACCTAATGTTCCCTCAGCCTACAAACCTCAGTGGCTGCCAAAGTATAACCCACACACCAATCCCATTTGCCACTTGTTTTTGTAAATAAAGTTTTATTGGTGTTCAGACTATGCCTATTCATTGAAAAACTCTCTGTGGCTGCTCTCGTGCCCTAACATCAGCAGACATCACGTGGCCCACAAATCTGCACATGTTTACTATGGCCCTTTGCAGGGAAACACTGCCAAGCCCTGGCCTAGAACACTGTCAGATGCCTATTCCATCTACCCCATCTGCCTAACTCCTACTCACTTTGCAGAATTCAGGGAAATGCAAACAGCAAAACCTTTGTTTGTATCCTTTGTTTAAGAAAGCCTTGATCAGTACTCCTGAGCCTTCCCTCCAGGGCTGTCCTCTGCCTCCTCCTCCAAATGGCTTCCCCTGCATCTAGGATTGCATGCAAGCTTCCTCATGGCCCCCAGCTCCTACACAACTTGGTCTGCTGTGTTTCCTCTCTGGCCTTTTCCTCTGGCTTTGTTCACTGGAATCTGATCACTCTGACCTCGTCCCGAGGTTTAGCCCAGTTCGCCTGTGTCTCAGAGCCCTTGTACAGTCTATACCGGATGCCTGTTCCCATTTATTCTTCTCTCCACCATGTGCTGTCCTTCATGTGTCAACCACAGAAGAAGTCATTCTGTGAGTGGCTTTAACATAGTCACATCCCTGGAGGCTACTCCCCCAACTCGGGGTCTATAGGGCCCACACCTTTTGACTGGGGCCTTTATTAACACCGTCCATGTCGGTCCTTTAGGCTCCACACACACCTTCCCTTCCCAGAGGCTTCTTACTCCCCACGCTTCACGAAGAGTCCACTCACTCTCCCAGCAGATGGCTCCACCAGAGACAGAGCGCTGCCACCACACCAGGCCCTCCCCTCTTCCCCAGGCTTGGAGCTTAGCGCCCCTCCTCACTACGGAAGGAATGGACTTACATCAAGGAGATACTGCAAATCTTGCTGCTCCAGGCAGAGAGATCAGCCACCAAGAGCCACGCCAAGGAAGCTCTACCATCACTCTTCAGAAGCAACATCAGCTGCAGAGAGCTTTCTCAGGGAGGCCAGGCCCTCGCTAGAACTGCCCACGTCGAGGAAGGAGGGCGTGGAGGCCTTGCATTCAGTGAGCCTCAGACCAGCTCCAGATGATTCCACTCCAGAACACCCAGCCTGCCCCTCAGGACACTTCCCAGTGTGGTGGCATTGTGTTCCCTGAAATATTGTGCACCCTAATAAACTTATCTGGGGTCAGAGACAGAACAGCCACAATATTAAACATAGAGGATAGGCAGTGGTAGCACACGCCTTTAATCCTAGCATTCCAGAGACAGAGATCTACCTGGATTTCTGTGTGTTCAAGGATACAGCCAAGCATGGTGACTCATGCCTTTAATCCCAGAAAGCGAGCCTTTAATCCCAGGGAGTGATGGTAGAAGGCAGAAAGATGTATAAGGCGTGAGGACCAGGAACCAGAAGCATTTGGCTGGTTAAGCATTTGGCTGGTTAAGGTTTTAGGTTTTGAGCAGCACAGTTCAACTGAGAGCCATTCCGATATGAGGACACAGAGGCTTCCAGTCTGAGGAAACAAGATCAGCTGAGAAGTTGGCCAGGTGAGGTTAGCTGTGACTTGTTCTGTTTCTCTGATCATTCAGAATTCACCCCAATAACTGGCTTCAGGTTTGATTTTATTGATAAGATTCTCTAAGATTCATGCTACATCCCAGCCTCTGCATCTCCTTTCCCTTAGTGGATTTTGATTCCTAGTGAACAGCTTGTCTGTTCCTCACATTCTGCCTCAGCATCTGCTTCCAAAGAAGCCAGCCTATAGCATTTGTTTATACAGTTTGAAGAGATGAACAGAGTTCCCAGTCAGACCTGGGCTAGCATTTCTCTCAAGCACTCATCAACCAGAGGCCTCAGTCAGACCTGGGCTAGCATTTCTCTCAAGCACTCACTGACCAGAGGCCTTGAAGGTACTTGTTAGTTTCCCAGGTTCTGTCTCCTTATCAAATGGAGAGAGAAGGTCCTCACTACATGGCTGATTTTGGGGTTCACTGAAGGCACATTCTGGGACAGGATGTTCAAATGGGGTTAAATATAAATATATATTTATGTTTATATAAACTTAATTATATATGTGAACCACGTGACCTTGACTCCTTGTTTATGTCCATTTATAAGCAGCATACGGAAGCATGTGTCTCAAAGGAGAGTGACCTTGAGATGTTGACCTCACTTCCAGAGGCAGAGATGCCTCATTCTTTTCATCTGACTTCAAGAAAGACTGGCTTCAGGAAGCCGACAACCCCCGGTATTTGTTCTCTTCCTTGTCTCGCTGACCAAATGCCTGAGAGAAGCAACTGTGGGGAGCAAGGGTTTATTTCAGACCGCTGTTGGGAAGCCATCAGTCTACGGACTTTGAGACTGTTGATTCAGGCCTCTGGTGGAGAATACAGAGAAGGCTCCCGCCCTCTGACTGAGGCACCAGGCTGAACCTCAGCCTCTCTAACATGTCCCCAGGTGATGTGAATGCTGAACTCTCCCCCACTCGACAGAAGCCCACCTCACGGACCTTGTTTCATTGTGAGATCCATGTCCCATGGACTTAAGGTGAAGGAGGGTTTGATCTTATCAAAATCAAATTTACCCAGATGCATGAGAATAACCAGCTGCTTCCGTCTGTCCGTCCTTGGAGATGGCTTGTCTACTCAGTCCTGGACCATCCTCCCAACTCACCTTTCCGCTCCTCAACCCACAGGCTTGCAGCCCTGCTGCTCTGCTGTTAGTTCCTCTGAAGGGCTCCAAGTGCTGTGTCCAGTTGGAATCATTGCCATCAATAGGCCTCATATTTTACTGAGCACTTAGGTCTACACCTGCTGCCTCAGTTTCCCCATGTTCCAAGACAAAATTAGAGAATAGAAATTGGTAAAGAAAAGTGAACTTATTTCTAGTTTTCAAAGGAGGGGGGCTCTCTAACATGCATGTGGTGGTTAAACTTTATAGAAAACCATGAGACATGGCTAGAGAGATGGCTCTGTGGCTAAAAGCCCTGGCTGTTGTTTCAAAGGACCCGGGTTTGGTTCAAAGAACCCACATTAGGTGGCTCATTCTCACCCATAACTGAAGTTTCAGGGAATTCAGCACCCTCTTCTGGTCTCCTCAAGCACCTCCATATACGTGATCGATATACCAGACACAGGGACATCTGCACACCGTGAGA